GCAATTAATATATATAACTAATGGATTAGAACCTCCCAACCAGTTTTCTTCATCTGGGACGCCACACACCTGTGGTGTCAAAAATGACCTGGGGAACAGTGGCTGTGTTGGAATGTGCTCGTGATTTAGCCTTTATTTTAGAAGCAAAACTTGGAGAGATAATGGGAAAGAAATAAAATATCAAACCTAGCAACTGTATTCTCAGAAGGGAAGGAACAAGGCACAGAATTGTTCTGTCAATACTAAGGAATTCATTTAATCCTGCCAACTAAACAATGGAAAAGTAGAAAGCGTTCCCGGGTAAATGAGAAACAATTTTGCTCTTCCAGTAGGGAATTTTAAAACAACATAGAGGCTCTACAGCATTTGTACAGCTGTCCCAGGGCCACTTCCCACCGCTGATGGACAGCAGCTTCCACTCCCACCCTGGGAGCACTCGAGGTGGAGAGCAGGCAAGGTAATGAATATGGGCACAGGAAATAAAATGCCATTCAATGGTTTTGTTTCCCCTTCAATCAAAGACAAAAATGTTTCTGTCCAAACATTGACTTTGTTGCTTTCTTTAGAGATATTATATTTGGAAAATATTTGATTATCCTGTCAAGAACATTCAAGTATAAACAGATGTGCAGAGTGAAAAGAGAGGAAGAGTAAAAAAAAAAAAAAAAGAAAAAGTGATTTTCAGGCATATAAATGATTTTGCTTCAGTAGCAGAAGGGTCATGAATATGAATAGTGCTGAATTCTAGAGGAGCCATTTGTCATTATTAAAATTAGTGCTTTGTCAACACAAAAATCTCCCTCCCAGCTTCCTCCTAGGCGCACGAAGAGCTGCATTAGGGGATTCGTTATCAGGGAACGGGGCCGTGGCTCAGGAGGGACGAGGCTGCGATCCATAGCGGGACTGGCTGGGAGAGGGATGAGCCGCTGCCCGGCCAGCCTGGCGCGGAGCTGCCGGGCATTAACACACGAAAAGCTGGCAGCTCTGCATTGCACAGCCCTGCCATCCCACTGCCACTGAAATCCACGGGGCCGCCATCCACATCCCGTTCCGGGACTCTGCGCTCGGAATTCCCTGAGCACGGGGGAGAAGCGCGGAGGAGCAGAATTCGTTTTGGTGGGAGAGGAGGCGAGCAGTAAATGCATTTCACACTCCTGCAGGAACACCAGGAACAGCCCGGCACGGCTCTGGCATGCACAGGGCACAGCTACGCCCCTTGCATTAATTCCTCCCTTCTGGCAAATCTTACTAAGGGGTGAGAAGGCAAGGAAAAAAGCCGCTAAAGACAGTAAGCATCAATTTCCTCTCAGAACAGCGGAATTCCCACATGGCACCCATCTCTGGCTGCTGGGCTTTCCAGCAATGGGCCAGGGCCAGACAAGCAGCAGGAGGAAAGAACTAAAAGGGAACATTGATCCTATTTAATTATGGAATGGCTGAGAGGATGAGGTGGAACACATTTATACCTAAGTTTGCTAATGGATTTTTTCATTGCAAGCGCTTGATCGATGGATAGGGAGAGTTTCAGATATCAGCAGAAAGGAATCAGCCAATATTTTTTTTCCCAACATGGGATTGCCATCCTTGAAATTGTGCTGCGTTTCAGCTGTGCCCTCCAGAGGCAGTTGGCTAATCTTTGTCCAAAAACAAACTTTTAGCTAAAGCTGTGCTGGGTTTGGCAATTACAGATGGTTAAAAGCTCTTTATTCTGCATCAATAGGGCATCCAGGGCAAGCACACAAACTCTGAGTACAGAACGCAGTTTCAATGAACTGCAACAATTGGTTTATATGCCAATATTTTTTTAAAATGCCTTTTTTTCCTCTCTACTAGGTACTATAGGTTTCATTTTCTTTGTAACACAACCCTGTTTCCACATGGGGAAACCACTGTATATCTAAATTCTAGATGTGAGGTGAAATAACCCTAGAAACAAAAACCACATAGTGAAATGGTGTGATGGTCCTGCCATTAGTTTACAAACAATCTGATATCAACCATGCTCTAAACATGAACAGTTAAAACCCATCACCTTTCATCCCTAGTGATTTGGAGGTAGATGGCAAAGAATTAAAACCAGTTTTATCCATTAATAATAATGCATCATATTTGGGGATTTTTCACTTCCCAAAAGACCAATGGAGCAAAAGAAGTCAAAAGAGCTGTCCAAGATCTTTTGACTCCATGAAGAGTGATTAATTGGATCTCTTAAATTGGTTTGCAGCCTAATGAAACTCCTAGAATAAGCTAATACTCATCTCCTACAAGTACATTTTAACATTAAAAACAATCTCATCCATTTTCAAGTGTAAACAAAGCACAAAGAGCACACAGATTTACTTGCATACTTCATTTGCTGCAGTAATATTAAATGTCATTGGCAGACCCTTTAGCACTCATCAAACAAACACTCCAGAGACGAGGTGATATTCTCCATCAACATTTCCTACCAGTGTTTTCCTTTTTATCACTCTAAAACAGTTTGCAGGAAGAACTTTTCACATTTACAGAAGCTGAACTAGCAAGGATCTGTTTCTATTGGCTAGGGGTTTATTTTGTGAGGAGAGAATGATTTATTACCTTCCTGATAAGTTTCTGGGGTAGTACATAGAGACATGCATCAAGTTCAGGATAATTTTAAGATTCACTGTTTATGTCAAATACTTGGGGTCATAAAATGCACAGGCACTGGAATCCACCAAATCAATCCACAGAAAAAAACAACTTGTACCGTTTCCAATCTCTGTTTAGCTGATGCCCAGAGCAGAATAAAAGCAAAGAATAAATTACCTTTTGTGGCCTAAAGTGTGCAGAATGCAAACCCACTGCAGAGGGGCCATGAGGGACACGTTCTTCTAAGCTCCATCTGTCTCCCCCTTGGAGGAGTACTAAAAGCCTTGTTAATAATTTAATGAACTAATGGACACGTTTTCAGACTCTGGGAGCTAATGGGTAAAGAAGCACCACCTTGGCACAGCAAGGGGGTGAGAGTGGGAATTGGTGGCTTCTTATTCCCTGATGTGCTAGGGACAAGCCTGGGACAACAGAGCAGGAATGGACTGGAGGGAAAGCTTTGAGTCCAGGTGGGTCAGTGCTAACAACCTTGCTGAGACACACACACACACACAGGTATTTCAGAGCATATCTGACCCACACTCCAGGCTCCAAAGGAGTGCTGCCTAAACATTGCCCCCCATGCCTGGGTTGTGCAAGGCATCACTCAAACCACATCCAGCAGCCCTACAGCACATTAATTCAATTAAATTTTAATTCAAAAACTCAAAATTCACTAACCTGAAATGACTCCTGTAGCAGCTTTCAGAGGAGAAAGGTGCAGGTGCTCTGCATCTTTTATAAACTCCTCCCAATTTCTGATCATCCCAAGTGAGGCTCACCTGGACACAATTAACTCTGCAAAGCAAAACGTTTACCTGGGAGTCAGGTGTTCTCACTGTTCACAGCTCATTTCTGCAGCATGAGGTGCTTCAACCCCCCCAAGTCTGTAATCAGATTTCACTGTCAGTCCATCCACAGGCCAATGCACTGACTGAAACAGCCAAGTGACAACGTTCAGTTTGGTGCCATCTTCATAAAAGTAAATAATGACAGTCTACAGCTAACCTAGCCACAAGCATGAGTTTAATCACCTCGTGGAAAGAAAATGTTGCGAAATACATTTGTCACATTATTCTTATAAAATCTCTTTATCCCTCTGAAATAAATCACGAGATCTACAAGGCAGTGGCCCACATAAAGGCTGATAAAAAACCCCAGAAGTTATATCAGCTTTAAGGAGAAAAAAAAGAGATACTTAACTGAGATACCATCGTTCACAAAGCCTGGGAGTGTTTCTGTGTCAGAATTTATTCCCCTGCTTACAGCCATGCTGTTCTAGGCAAACCAGGCAGCACTGGGGGGAAACAGCATATTGGGGTTTTTGGTGTGCTCTGCCTGAAAGCTCCTCTTGCCCCCAGATCAGCATTTTCATGACCCACCTGTCCAACTACGGCAACGACCGCCTGGGCCTGTACACCTTTGCCAACCTTGCCAGCTTTGTCAAGAGCTCCACAAACCTGCAGCTGCAGACGCTGCCCCCCGTGCAGCTGGCTCAGAAGTACTTCGAGCTCTTCCCCGAGCAGACTGACCCTCTCTGGCAGGTAAAGCCACCTCCTCTTCCTCCTCCAGCTGCAATCAGCTCGTTGGAACAAGCATCTTTCCTCTAAAAAGCCTTTTTTAAGCATGGGAATGTAATGGTTACACGTACCTGCCTCTTCTCTGAACCGGATACCGTGAGCCACACCGTGCTCTTGGCTACACTGCCATAAATCCAGGGTGGCACCAAGGAAACCTGTGCAGTTATTTAGGGCTTATACTGGCAAAAAGGTGCAGAAAATTTCCTCTATTGGTTTTGGCCCAGCTACAAAGGAAGCATAAATCTATAATATTTACACTGGGCTGCAGCAATTCCCATCAGTTGATGATTTTCTCCATCATATCTTGTTAATTTTATTCACCAGCAAAGTGTCCTCTGTTACCAGTCCACACTATGGAAAAGCAGCATCTGTATGATAACTGCTTTGAAGAGCAGCCAGTCCCAACCTCTTCTGCGAGGCCTTTTGTTCACAGGTTTTTATTTTGCATTCATAGGTAGCAGAAAGATAAGGAGATGAATAATATCCCACTTTACTATTTTGTCCTTCCCTTTTGCATTCTCACATAAATTAAAATTGGCACTAAGCCCCATGCATCCAAAACCATTCTGACAGCTCAAAAGGTAATGCCTCGAAGCTATTCAGAGGTTTCCATTCTAACCTCAAATGGAAACGTGATTAAATCAATGTTTCAATCTTTTTTTTCCCTTCTTTTTCTTTTCTGCTAATGACTGAACCTAGTTCTCAGTCATTCAAAACCATTGTACATACACAGTGGGATTTCACTACTCAGTGTAGGGCTCTGGCAGTAGTGCATAACACTGAGACCCTGCAAAGATTTGAGACCCCCCAGTGTGATGACAACAACCACCTTTCCTCCTTCAGAACCCGTGTGATGATAAACGACACAGGGATATTTGGTCCAGAGACAAAACTTGCGACCACCTGCCCAAATTCCTGGTGATAGGACCCCAGAAAACAGGTAAGAAGCACAAAAAGAGCTTTTAAAAAGTTTCTACAAAGTCAAAGGTGCTTTTTTTTTTTTTTAATATTTCCTAATGGCATCTCTTTTTGTTGCCATAGGAACAACGGCCCTTTATTTATTCCTTCTGATGCATCCTTCCATTATCAGCAATCTCCCCAGTCCAAAAACTTTTGAGGAAGTTCAATTCTTCAACGGCAACAACTACCACAAGGGAATTGACTGGTAAGAAGAATGATAAAAACGAGGTGTTCATTCTTAGTACATGGAAAATCACAGTGGAGCAGCTCCAGGAGCGAGTGTGACATTGCCTTAATTACTGCATGAATTCGTTATGCTTGGAATTCTCAGACAGAAAGAGAATCTAATTGGTAATGATGGGACATTTAATCAAGCCCCTAATTTTGTTTAGATATTACAGTAAGAATTTTCTGAGTTTTCACACAAATGAATGCAAGAGGCAGCTCTGTCATGAGTTCTGTCTTCATGCTAAATAACATCTCTGTCTTGTCATCGCTGTAGCTGCACTCACTTATGCCCTGTTCCTCCCAAAGTGGCTTTTCATGAAGTAAGGTTCCATTTATCTCTTCACGAGAATCCATCCAATCAATTTTAAATGGAAAAGACCATTCAAAGCCAAAATTCAAATCTTGCATTCTGAAAGCGTCCAAAAGCAAAGATATGTCAGTTCCAAAATGAAGTACTTCAACAATGTTAAAATTAAACAGTTTGACATTTAAATGTTGACATTAAATGTTGACATTTTGAAGCTTTTCCCATTTTTTTACTGCAGCTAAAACTGAACTCACTCCAGACTGGTGAAAGATATCCCTTTGACACTGAAGTTATTAGCAAAAATCCCATCTATCACAGGAAAAACCTAATTACCAGACTTCATGAGGGCTTTAGCTATTACCAGCACCACCTAAGAGCCAAGATGCATTCCCATTATTCCAGTCTGGGCTGAGCTGAGAAATTCAATTTTGCTCCTTGAGAATTATGTCTGAAAATTCACGTCTCAGCCACCATGAGATGGGAAGCACAGGGCCATGACCCTTTTGTCCTACTGCTAATTCTAACAAGTCTCTTCCCCTCCAAGGTACATGGATTTCTTCCCCACTCCTTCCAACATCACCACCGACCTCCTCTTTGAGAAAAGTGCCAACTACTTCCATTCTGAGGAAGCTCCCAAGAGAGCTGCTTCCCTCATCCCCAAGGCCAAGATCATCACCATCCTCATCGACCCGTCCGACCGTGCCTACTCCTGGTACCAGGTACACAATTCTTTGCCTCAAGGAATGCACAGTGGAACCAGTGGCAGGGGATGGTGGCCAGCATCAGTGGGAATCTGTGTCCTTGAGCAAATAATTGGAGTTACTGCACGGCATTGGCACCGTGTGGAAGCAGGAGGATGCTGGATGCCAGCTTTGGCAGTTGGCACCTGTGACACCGATGTCAGAAATGATGAAACTTCCCAGCACAGAGCTGCCACCAGCTGGAAACAAACAGTTTAATCTCAATTACAGCTGACAGGGCAGACAGGGAGAGCAGTGCTCCTCGCCCAGGGACACACAGGGAAAAGCAGCTTGGCCCAGCCAGGGAATCAGAGCTCTTGATGCTGAGGATCTGAGCCCACATCCCTGCCCCCAGCTCAGCAATGTGCAGCAGTGCACAAATGGACCCGGTGCCTCTTGAAGTTTCCAAGGAGTTTAAAAGGGCTGTGTCTGGAGACACTGGCTTTTTTCTCTCCTTGGAAACAACAGCAAGCCTCTTGTTTCCCCCTGGAAACTCCGGGATGCTCTTCCTTGCCTTTTCCTGAGCACACACCCTTCCCTATCAAAACCTTCACTATTTAAAAATTCTATTTGTAGAGAAATGTATAGGCATGCCTAAGAAATATGGCATAGGCAGACACATAAAGGAAACACTAAATGCAGTGTTAAAATAGACTGAGATCAATAATGTTGGAATAAGCATGAAATACATCATTTCTGATAGCGCCAGGAAGTTTTGCAAGGAATAAAGCACGGCCAGGGGCTGCAGTTTGCACCCGTGTAATATCTCATTGGCAGCTTTACAGCTGCCAAGGCAAAGCAGTAAAACTCCTCACTCCCCAGGGGAGCCTGGACTGAATGTTGTCCCCACTCTGCTTCCTTGTCCCCCATCCCCCTCCTGCCTGGCAGAGGTGGCACTGAGGGGGACCTGAGGGTTGCCAGCACAGCCCTCCTGGCAGCTCCCGCAGGATTTCAGCCTTCATCTCCAGCCTCCTTGTGAAAAACATTTCAATATCTCCCCCCAGCACCAGCGCTCCCACGAGGACCCCGCTGCCCTGAAATTCAACTTTTACGAGGTGATCACGGGCAGCCCCCGGGCGCCGCCGGAGATGCGGGCGCTGCAGCGGCGCTGCCTCACTCCCGGCTGGTACGCGCTGCACATCCAGAGGTGGCTCTCGCACTTCCCTCCCTCCCAGGTAAGGCCGGGCCGGGCCCCACCCGGCTCACTGAGCCCTGGCTCGGCCCAAAGGAGTCGCCAAGGTCCTACAGCCCGAGAGAGCTGCGGCTGCAGCAGGAGACAGTGTGGCAAATTCATTTAGAAAATGCCAGAGCTGCTTCTAAGAAGAAATTTCATCCTGCTTCCCACTCAGTCCCTACCATAAAAAGCTTTACTTTTATTTGATGCTGATACAGAATTGGCCTTTCTCAGGGCTGGAGCATAGATTCCTTCTTTTGGCGCCTCCTTCAGATATTTCATTGAATTGTCTTTTATAACCTTTGCCATGAAAAATTTACCTGAACACGTAGATCTAAAGAATATTTCCATTGTTGAAGTAATAATAATAAAATAACCTAAAGCAAACATTTTAGTACGACAAAGTACATGCATGGGCACTCTTTATGACATGGTCATATGTCAGTTCATATCTGCACCTCCTGTAAGACAAAGCTGTAAAAGGCTGTTTTGTGAGTGAGCAAATGAAGAAGGATCCCCAGAGACTGCTCTGGGTGGGACAGAATTTTGCTGAAAGGAGGCAGAGTTGAGGGTTGCCAACTTTCTCAGAGATCTGGGGAAAAAAAATAAACAACAAAAAGAACTAGTTCTGCCTTCTTGCAGTCCTCATTTTTCTTTTTATACAGCCTCAGCTGTACTACAGAGGGGAGAAACAGGTCAATCCCATTTCCAGGAGAAGGGAGAAAATCACAGTTAGTCATTTACTTCCTCCTTTCATCTCTGCCCTTTCTACTCCTTCATAAATGGGGAGGGAGTTCTGCCCAGAGCTGCTGAGCTGGCAGCAAGGGCAGTGTTGTTGCCCTTGGGAGCAAACAGGCCACGTCTCCTCCTCACCCACCTCATCCCAACTTATTCCTCCAAAGGAGATCTGGCAAACTCTGAGCATGCAAAGGTTGCTGAGCATCCCACGCCCGGTTCCCTGGTCTCTTCCTCTGCTCTCACCTGAACCTGCTGCCTTCTCTCCTCAAGATTTCCCACAGACACATCATAGACCTCAACAATATTTTACATTCTTTCCTTATCTCTTCTTCTCAGAATTGTCTGAGACTCAGGTTTGGCTTGGGAGGTTTAACTCCTGCATTTGAACAAGGTACACACTCAACGTTACAAGGTGTCCACCTATGTAAATACAACGCAAAAAACTAAAAAGTAAACCTAAAAAGGAGTTCATCCATATGAATGTTTTTAGCACTGTACAAAGTCATGTGCTAATTTAAATCCAGGTTGTCACAGAAGTGACATTTTTGACAGTGCATTTTGTGCCATATTTACCCCTGCAGTTGCTCATTATTGATGGACAGCAGCTGAGAAGCGACCCTGCTACTGTGATGGATGAAGTGCAGAAGTTTCTGGGAGTGTCTCCTCATTACAATTACTCTGAAGCCCTAACGTGAGTGAATTCTTTTTTTTTTATCTGCCCTGTGGGATCCCAGGGTACCTCCCCTTCCACCAGGATCCCTTGATTATTAATTACGAGCAGACAACACATCAGGACAACGACACCTTTGAAAAGCTTGGGGTTCTCTTCCATCACTCTCCAGGGAGTGTCAGGTGTGGGAAGTTTGGCTTAAGCGTTTTTATCATTCCAGTGGGAGCCTGGTGGCAGAGGTTGGCTTAGCAGCACTCGTTCCCTAATCCCATTTTCCTGTCTGGATTTGCATGTATGGCTGGGACTCCTGCAGGGGTGGGAGTGGGCTGAATTCCCCTCTCCCCTCTTAGTCCAGCAGAAAATTCTAAGAAGCTTTTGCCCTGAGCCTCTCTGTGCATCATCTTACAGCCCCAGCTCTGGGATATGTGTGGGCTGGAAGCCTGCCACTGCTTTTGCCAAGTCCCTGTGCAAGCAGAGAGCACGTGGAATGGGAAGCAGAAAAGCCCCTACTTCACCTTCCCTGCAGGCTGCTCCAGAGGGAAACACAACCACGGGCTTTGCAACTGCCCCACACTGCTCCTCTCTGCTTACAATTACCAGTTATTTAATGTTTCCTCTCCTGGGAGGGTGCAGCTTATTTATATCAGAGGTTCAAAGTAAGACTTGAGTGCCTAAGGAAGTTGCTCTGCCAAAACCTTTTTCTAGGGGAAGAATTTTGGATTTCAGAACGCAGTTTTTAAAGTCACTGATTTCCAAAGCGGATGGAGGGGAGGAGGAGTCTGATCACAGAGCTGAGCTATTGATGTTTGAACAACTCACAACTGCACATCTGCAGTGCCTTCTGCTGGGTTTTTAAAATCCACACCCACAGACATACATCTTCCTTTCTGGAACTAAATTAAAGTCAGTGGAGTCGCACAGCATGAAAAAATTTGGCCTCTCATACTGGTTTGGACAGGAAAAATGGATTGTAAACAGATCCATAAAATTATGCACTCCCTGTTTAGAGGCATCAAGAATGCAAATGTGCTGTGGAAGCAGACACTTCTGCACGGATTTGGGATGGAAGGGGAAAATGCATTAAAGTATGTAGCTGCTTTGTGGTAGGGCTTGTCGAAGGGGAAAAGATTGCACAGGATTGTTCCTGGTCATTACTGCCTAACGACTGCACACCACACATTTTTAAAGGTGTCAGCAAGCAGCCTAAGGGCCCAGTCCTGTGAACAGCACTGAGCAACAGGTCCATCACCCTGAGTGATTATGTGAAAATCTAGCAGGAGAGTAAAATCAACCCAGGCAGAAGGGAGGCACTATCCAGAGCCATGGAAGGGGAGCAGAGGGGACACAGAGGCAGGGCTGGAGGAAAGCACAAGGTGAGAGGAGTGTGCTTAGGAAAATGTTCTCCCTTGGAGGGCTGCTACATTCTGTCAGAGAATGAGAGAAAGATCCTCATGATGGCACTGCTTGGCTGTGCCCTCGCAGGCATTCCCTGCCTCTGGCATCAGGTACTGCCTTCCCAAAACCCTGCCTCTCCCCCAGGCTTACTCTGCAGGGAAGGGAAGATAACCAGGCCTCCAAAGATTCCTGCTGACAGCTCTAAAACGCTCCCCTGTAGCTTTAGCCTTAGGGCTATCACTATTCTAAAATAAATATTTCCACTGTGCCCAATTACGTTTACAGAAGCCCTGAGAGTTCTGTGATTTCTGAACGCAGAGGGTTGAATTCAGCCCGAACTGTCTCAGCCTCTTTTCCCCTTCCCAAATTTGCACATCCTTTTCATAATGTTCAATAAGCTCCTTCTGAGGCAGAAATATTGTTTGGGGCATAGTTTTGCAGTTTCCCTTTTACCCAGCACACGATATTGCTGCTCCTCTTGGGAAATTAATGCCAGGCAGCTCAAGCATTTCACCGTGCAAGGAGCAGATGGGAAAGGCCAAAGCAGAAATGAATCTATCATCAATATACCCATTTAATCAATGATTTATTTGTTTTTAATTGATACAGCTACAGACACAATTTAGGAAACAAAGGTCAGGCCTGCATTAATAGGCTGGGCAAGAAAAAGCCCACGTAGAAGGTTCACCCTTCTCCTGAAACTCGCTCACTTCTGTACAGCAGCAAATTGCAGGTGCACCCATGTCGTAGGGACAGAGCAGGGGCAGGAAGGTGGTGTGTAATTAATTAACTCCATGTCCCAGCCAATTACCCTTCATCCTTCTCCAACATCTGCTGAGCAGCAGGAATGTGCAGTGTTTGGATGTTTTATGCCTGCTGCAAGTCCCATAGCAGTAAATCCCAAACTTAACTCCACGTGCTGTTTGTTCCTCAGCCAGTGCGTGTTTCCAAGCCTTAATCTAAACCTCTTCTATCTCTGCATTTCAGACATCACAATCAAATTGCATGTTTCAGATAAGGGCTGCTAAGACAGTGTTTATGCTACAATGCCATCCTAGGAACGAAAATGGTATTTAGATGCAGTGATAGGGAGCAGCCAGCTTCTCAGGAAGGTTCAATCATCAGCACCCAACCAGCGCTTCCTTAGGAGAGCTGCACATCAGCACCTCACCTTGTGTGCTGGACAAGTGCAACAGAAATTAGCCAGGGCAGGTAGAGCATAGTTGGAAAAACTTCCAGCCTTCAGGCACTTCCAAGGCAGATTTGTGGGAAAAAATGAATCCCCAGAGCTTGCACAGGAGAGGAAAGGTGTTTCCCAACCTGTCCTCAGAATTCCAGTCATCTAGAGAGATGTGTGCAGCAATAATTGTGGGCTAACACTGATGTCTCAGTAGCCAGGAGATGTTTCTGTAGCAAGGTCTTTTAAAAGAGATGATCCTCTACAGGTTCGACCCTCAGAAAGGTTTCTGGTGCCAGTTATTGGAAGGAGGGAAAACAAAGTGCCTGGGGAAAAGCAAAGGTCGGAAATACCCACCAATGGACCAAGAGGTAAGGGCTTTTCAAAAATCTATGGGAGCAGTTTTAATATTGGCCCGAAATAAACACAGTGATTTTCTTTTTATTGTTGTATTTTCACTGGGTTCCTGCTTTTAAAAATCAGAAACTCGAGCTTTGAAAGAGAGGGCATTGAGTGCCCCCTGGAGAGCAGATCCCTGTGGGGTGGCTTTGCTTTAACCTGATCTCGCTTTGTTTCCCCCCCGATCTCAGTCCCGAGCGTTTCTGTCGAGCTACTACCGAGAGCACAACGTGGAGCTGTCCAAGCTGCTGCACAGGCTGGGGCAGCCGCTGCCCTCCTGGCTGCGGCAGGAGCTGCAGAAGGTCAGGTAGCACCGGGGAGCCGGCCAGGCACATTCCTGCCCCCCAGACCCCCCCGCTCCTCCGGCTCACCCGGCATCGTCAGCACAGGACCTCAAGGACACCGCTCTTCGCAGCAAGAACTGAGCAGCCAACACAAGAGAATCAACAAAAAGCCCCGAACCCAAACGCGACAACGCTGCCGGTGGAGCAGCACCGAGCCCTGCCGTGAGCGCCCGGGAAAGCAGGCGGAGCTCCGCCGCTTGCCCTGGGTGCTGAGCGGGCTCCGCGCGTAGCCCCCGCTCCTCCCTTCCCCAGGACGGACCAGAAACTCTGTAGGACGGATGGACCTCGGATTGACACATTGCAGTCTGTCAGGACACGGGCAAAGGATGGGAGCGTCTCTCGCTGGACTGGGAGGTTGGTCATCCGCTGGGCTTCGCCCACTTTTGTTTCCCGATCCTTTTAACTTGCAAGCAGTGCACGGTCAGTAGCCTAAAGCTGACAGCTTTGCTTCTATGTGCAAAGCAGCGCTGCTGCTCGGAAGCCTTCAGACCCTGGCTGAGTCATTTAGGGTCTCAGTCTGCAAGCTGGTGCAGAAAAATAACTTTATTGGCCTTTTTAGAATGTTTTGGACACAAAACAGTCTGCTGAAGCACAAATTCTTTGTGTAGACTTTTCTGGAGTTAAAAGGACAAACACAGCCAATGTATATCACATATACATGTATGACATATATGTCTTCATTCCTGAGTATCTACCTAGTGTACCTCTAGATCAGACACACACTTGGTTTTAAATACCTGCTTTTTGTGCCCACAAGGAAATGAAAGGGTGGTTTACCAAAAATATGACATGAACTGTGCTTGGTTCTCAGAGCTGTGGGGGGCAAGGTCAGCAAAGCTGGGCAGAAATTCCTGACTTGTCCTGTATGGAGGTCATTGCTCAGATGTGGAAGTGGTAAATACATGTTTTTCTATGTCACATACAAACTCAGCCTCCCTTATCTTAGAGCACTGCTAACACCACAGAGGACTGCAGTAATGAGAGCTTTGGATAAGTAAGGCTTGGTCAGAGAAGAATATCTAAATGGACCATTTGACAGAATTACAGCTGCTAAAATTCATTAGAATTGGCTCAGCTTTAATTAAAAGAGGACTGCTAACTCTTGATTAAAAGCTAAATAAACATGACATTGATATCAGGAGCTATTCAAAGAAATGAGACAAACACTATAGAATCCAGAAAATTATTTCTCCTTCTTAGCTTTTTATTTAGAAAGAAGTCTGTCTCTCCAACTCTCAGCTCTGTAATGGCACCATGTCCTGAAAATACACCGGATATTTTTATACCTCTCTGTTATTTTTTAAGTTTGAATGGGCCTCACATTTCCGAGAGATCTCGTGTTCCATTGAAATCTGACATTTGAATTGACTTCTTTATATGTCATAAAGATGAAATACCAGTATTTCCAAGTTTCATTCCCTCCACTTGTAACAGGACCCATCAGCACAGAATTTCTCTGGACCACCGTGTGACAGAGGAGCCTTTGTGAAGTGTCTGGAAACGATCTCCTTTGCTTTTATGCCTTTTTAATGTCACTGACCACATAATTGTTGGGATTCTTACAGACCAGCAAAACAAAGGCAGCAAAAATGAAACAATTATTCATGGCAAGAGGGCTGTGGCTGGGAAAGATCGTGCTGGTCCTTCTTTCCTGTGTGTAAGGCACAGGATTCCTGTCCTTCATGTGCTGCACTTGGCTCCCATTCCCCTGGAAATGCAGATGCCAGGAGCCTGGGCACACCGAGGATGTGACCCTGTGGGCCAGGCTCAGGAGTCAGATTTAAAGCAGGGCTTTGGCCCTGGCAATGCTGAGCTCATCTAATTGAGGTTGTCTTTGAGCGAGAAGCAATCAGAACGGAATCCAAACCCCTCTAAATTATGCATTGACCTCTCAAGGTCTAAAATAAAGTTGTGGGATTAACTGCTCCGAGATGTTGTCTAATAAACCAAATTTCCTCTCTGATAGGGGAGCCGAGTGTCCCCCAAACAAATTAAAATGGCGGAATTAGAAATTCTTGGGGGAGGAAATGGTTGCGTAATGAAAGCGCTGATGGGTCTCTGATGTGATAATAAGGCAGTGGGGATGTGCCCTGAATACAAAAGCAGGAGCTGAGTGTTTTCTCCTCTTCCTTCCCCTGCTCCTTTCCCCCCCCATTCTGAGCCAGGGACATGGGGGAGCTTTCATGCCCTGAACAAATCAGCTGAGAACAAATGGGGTGTGGGGTGCTCATTTCCCCTCTGCTGGGCCACCCAAAGGGGAGACATCAACCACTCATTTACCACTCATTAGTTCCCACCAGTAACAAATTATGTTTATAAAAATTGATGTTTCTAACAGGAATAGGAGTGTGTGACACCTGTGTCAACCAGGTACAGCACAGGGACATGAATCAGCAGTGACCACATGGCTAATTCTATTGTATTTAAAGAAGGCTAAGTTTGGGGCTTCTTTTACATGACTCTGGGTTCATGGAACACGAATTTCCCTGTCAGACAACATTTCTTACACTCTCTTTATTTCTCTGTTTGTGCTTCCAGTTCATCCTTTTAGTGTGACTGCAAAGGTGTGGACCTGCCCACGGACTCGATTCCTCCATCACTCTCCTATCTAGAAAAGCTGCCAAAAAGAAATAAGAATTTGCAAGCGACACAGATTCTGAAGTGTTCAGTGCTCCATGACTGGATAACTTTTATAAGACTTACTGTGATTTCTGTAGTATTTCAGAACAAAGGACACCTTGTTGATAGAGCTGAGGAAAAACTTCACTGTCTTGTCCAAGCTCTTTTTTTAAAAAAAAATTTTCTTTCCCCTCCTATGTGACGACAGCAAATCCAGTTGAACAAATACTTGGTGTTGAAGCAGAAGGAATCAAAATAAATTTTGATCAGTCAAAGTATTTTTGTTGAGGGGGGGTGGTGAGGGAGGTCAAGGGCTGTATTTGCTGGAATTGTTTTAAATAATTGATGTGCACACACCTGATTATGGGTTCTTCTCACTGCCGCAGAATAAACACTTCTGATGGTGCATTACAGAGAGAGCTTGGCTTCTTTCCTTAAACTCTCCTTCCCATTTCCTGAGCCAAAATCTGCTCTTCAACAACCTCTGCCATGTATTTCCAATCGTGCACCTCCCCAAGGCTTCCAAAAACGTGGGATTTCCTGGCAGTGCTACTGACCTCCTCCTCCTCCTCCTCCTCCTCCTCCTCTTCCTCCCACGTGGATCCAGGCAAGTCTGTCCCTTCAGTGTTTGTGACATTCCTGGGCCTGCCCTCCCAAGGTTTGGCCTCCCTGAACCTCACAGGACAGTGACACGTGGCAGCCCCAAACAAGCTCTTGCCCTAATTAAAAATAATTTCCTTCTGTTCCATTTGAGGAATCTTGAAAGGCCCTGATTCCAGCTATTGCAAATTCCTCAAACTGTGCACTCAGAAGTAGGAGACAGAATTTTCTCCCTCCCTAAAAATATCATAAAGTTTATATTTTTGTTACAAAATATTAATTTCTTTTACTGATCTGTGTCAGAATGAGGTTAAATCGTATCAGAGTCAGGGATTCTTTCTACAAACCTTCCAGAAGACCAAATTCCAACTCCTGAGAGCTTCTATCATTGAGGAAATTAGAAGTGACACTGCAGATATCTCACCACAAGTTTTGACTTTTTCTTCCAGGTCTGCCTGGTGCTTGTAGACAAAATTTTCAAAGTAGCTAAAATTTTCAAAGTATTTTAGGAGTCTAAGTCAGTTAAAAAAAAAAAAACCAACAAAAAAACAAACCAACAAGCTTGTAGGCACCTATACTTGTAGGCCCTAAAAATCATCAGGCTTTCCAGGCCCAGGCAAGTTTCCTGCCTCAGTCTTATTAAATAAAACAATAGCAGAATTCTCCCAAAAATTTACTACTTCCACAAAATTCATCAATCAGACTATTCCCTCCTAGAACCTGGGGACCTGAAAGCACCAAACAAACTTGTGAGATGATCCCTCTGTGTAAAGAGCTTTTTCTACATGCAGGGTAGGAGAGGAGAGGAGAGGAGAGGAGAGGAGAGGAGCTCCTCTTTGTCAGGCCTGTAAATATCCAAATTCCAGTCAGAAACTAATTTACAGAATGGCAGAAATGAATTCTGCATGTAATTTATGCTCCTATTTCCGCTCATGAGGAATGAAAGACGTCCCAGGAAACCAGATTGATATTTGCATTTCAGTCAGCTGCAGCTGCTGGGTGGGGAGAAAAACATTTAAAACATCTCAATAAACCCATATCTGCCACTCGGTGTTTGCAAAGCTGTTTGTCCTGCTGCAGCTCCCTCCAAGCAGACACGGGCCAGTTTCAGAGTGCTCCTGTTTCTTTGGGAAGGGGAAGGTGACACGTTAATACACAAATCTGCCTCCATCACAGAAGGTCAGCTGGGTCTATGGGCTGCTACTTAGAGACATCCTGGGGTTTTCTCAGAGGTTATTTACAGCCAGGGTGGAGTGGGATTTCTCAATCTAAGTTGCAATTCCATAAAATGCTGTGGGGGTTGAAAAGTGTGGTTTATAATTTGGGAGATAATTGCGTGCCATTCAATTGACTTTGTACTTGCTACTTCTCAGAGTCTGGTGGATGTTCTGCTGTCTTGCAGAACTTATCTGTGACACACATCCCCTGTTGGGTAATTTAGCTTCCCTTCAGAGGAGGAGCTGAGCTGTAAGGAAGAGCTGGATGTTTGAGGGGGTGAGTTTTTACAGAACTTGCTCTGAGGCAGATATTTATTTACAGTTTTTCTTTAATTCTCTGCGTGTGTGTTTCACTGTGTTTGCCTTGGCTGGGGAATCATCTCCATATTAAATCTGCACACCCTCCAAAGGCACACAATTCCCATCAGCATCAGTGACAATTAAATATTCTGGTGAAGGAGAGAATAAACCCACCAACAGAAAATGTTATTTAATGACATTGTAGCTGCAGCACATCTTCCTGCAGAGCTT